GGGCTTGGAAAGAGGCTTTCCTGGAGGAAGCCACACCTACAATCCTACTGAATTAATGAAGTAGGTGTCCGCTAGGTCGGGGGGAAAGCATGGCATGTCCAAAGGGTGTGCAGGGAACAAAAATGTGATGTGTTCAGTGTGGCTAGGACAGTGTTGACCAAGTGGCAAAAGACGAGGCTAAAGAGAAATAAGTGTCCCCGATTTCTTTACTTCCAAAGTGCAGGGCAGAGGCCGGCAACATTGTCACCGGATGTCCACAGAAGTGCAGAACTGTTGGCCCAACACCAGACTTCAAGCACCAGTCTTCAAGGTCAACATGTGGTGTGTTGTGTTGTGTTTTGTTGTAAAGCTTCAAATGCCCTTTCTCTGAGGACCTTGGGCAGCTCAGAGTGGAGTGCAATTGGCCTCTAAAAGATCAAACAGGGAAACACACAAAACTAACCATTCTTGTTACAGGGTGGGTCATCAAAGACTCATAGAGGGGACAGAAGTTTTGTCACAAGCACGTCTTATTAGGAAGACTTCCTAGGGCCGAAGAGCTGTTGGGGAGCAGTATCAGTGGCTATGGGAACGCAAGAGAATTTGAAGCGAGAATCCTGGGTTGGCACATGTTACCTAGCTCAGAATGTAAGCAAACTCGTTTTAGTCTATGCTTGATACTCATCACCTGTGTTTAGTGCCCACCCAACCCTGTGGCAGGGCACGGCTGCCAGGGTTAATCCCATCATTCTCCCTTCTCACTCCCTTCTTCTGCATAGCCTGCATGTAAAGCCGGAAGCCTGCCAGAGTTATCTGGAACCCCAGCAGCCTTGTGGTATTGAGCAAGTATGATTCTGATCTTTTAAAATTTGGCCATCAGAAGTATTTTCCCTTCTGTTCAAAACAGCAACTAGAGAGCTGCTAGGAACTTCTATGCAAAGCCAGGGGTGGGTCGCACACCTATAGTCCCAGCACTCGGGAGGCAGAGAGAAGCAGATCTCTGTAAGTTCGAGGCCAGCCTGGTCTACAGAGTGAGTTCCAGAACAGCCAGGTCTACACAGAGAAACCCTGTCTCAAAAACTTTTTTGCTTTCTATGCAAAATATATCAGGGAAAAGGTTCTACTTTAGGCTAAAACCAGAACACACAACTCAAGAACATGATATAGAAACAAAATCTAACTGCCAAGGCTTCTCAGAGGGGCCGGGAGAGATGATCAGTTGATAAAATGACTGTTGTGTAAGCATCAGGACCTGAGCCTGAGATCAGTTGCCAACATCCACATCAAAAGCTCGGCATGCGTGTGTAGTAATGTTGTGCTTATAATGGCAGCATGTTTGTAGCCCCACCGATCCGGGTTGATGGAGACAAGTAGGGCTCCCAAACTTGCTGGCCAGCTATTTTAGCCTACTTAGCATGCCCCAAGTCCCAGTGAGAGACCCTGTCTCAAAGTGGATGGCTCCTGAGTTTGACCTCTGGCCTCCACATGCATTGGTATACAAGTTACACACACACACACACACACACACACACACACACACACACCAGCAACCTGTTCTGTAAGATTTAGTCTATGGGCCCAGACTGCTAGCTAGCTCTGTCTAGTGTGGGACACTGCTCTAATTATTTTCGCTTTTAATTGCACCTGTAACCTGGTGATAAAAGCAGAAACTGGCTAAAAAGATGAATTAATCTGGCTTGTGGTAACACTCCATACAGTCTAATACACTCCATAATCTAACACACTCCATACAGTATGGTCTGGGCATTAGTCTACACAGATCTAAAGGTAGGGAGCAAGTCAAAATATTTACTAAATGCAAGCTATCCTAAAAAAACAGACTGCCTTTGGGGGTTTGGAGATTAAGTGAGGGTGTGTCCTGACTGGCCTGGAGGGAGGGGTTGACTTGAGCTTCCAGACCAGTCCAGCCTTCCCCACAGTGACATGCTCTTCAGTTTCTGGCTCCTGGCCCCTGGCTCAGTGTCTATTACAAGACCAGCTGTCCTGGCAGTTGCTAAGATGTTTAATATGCAGCGACCCTGGAGGGAAGAAAGAATGGCCTTATGGTTAGGCAAAGACACCCTGAAGGCACTTGTCTTTCTGGAGAGTCGAGACACAAAGCCCAATGGGCTTCTGAAGTGCAGCCTTTGTGGGAAGACCATGGTAGAGTCGGCATTGCTGTGCCAGGGCCCACCCTCAACAGAGCACAGTAAAAGAATTAACAGTGATGCTCAGGGACTAATAGCCTGAATATATAAAGAACTCCTACATGCCATAACAAGAAAAACCCAAAGAACCTAATTTTTAAAAATTACTTTTATTCTATGCAGTGTGTATTTGTCTTTGTGAATGTATGCACTAATACATGTATGTTTGTTTCCACAAGAGGCCAGAAGGTGAAATTAAGTCCCCCAAAAGTGGAGTTACAGACAGTTGTGAGCCACCATGTGAGTGCTGGGCACTGAACTTGGGTCCTCTACAAGAGCAGCAAGTGCTTTTAACTTCAGCACTCCTCTCCAGCTTCATGAACTCAATGTTTTAAAGGCACAGGGTTTTCATTGACAAGTTCTCCAGAGAGGACATATAAATGTCCTTGGAGCAGAGATGCTCAGTATCCATGGCTACCTAGGGAATGCAAACTCAAACTACACTCAGACTATTATTAAAAACAAATGATACTGCTCATAGAAATGTAAGATGGTACAGCCACTGTGGATAACATTATTTCGGCTCAAAATATGTATGTACACACACAATTATCATTCGGTCCAACAATTCCACTTCCAGGTGCACACAAAGATGTGTTGAAAGCAGGGAGGGACTCAAAGAAGGCCTCAAAGGTCTCCTTTGCCCAAGCTTTGCTCAGTGTGACACTCAGTTCACTTCCTGATTCCTTTTGGTCAAGATGTAGAACTCTCAGCTCCTTCAGGTCTGTCTGCTAGCTGCCACGCCCTACTGTTGATAATGGCCTAAACCTCTGAAACCTAACCCACCCCAATTAAACGCTTTCCTTTATAAGAGCTGCTGTGGTCATGGTGTCTCTTCACAGCAATAGAAACCCTAGCTAAGACACAAGCTAAGTGGAATTAGCCAGCCGTGAAAGGGTCATTGTTACCTGCTGCCACTTAGAGGGAACACACCCACGTACACAGAGAGGAAGCAGGATGGTGGTAGCTAGGGGCAGAGGTGAAAGGAAGCATGGGGACTACTGACTAACAGACACAAAGCTTGTCCTCTGCCACAACACCATAGGAATGTGAACATAAGGCCCCCTTAGAGGTGGATGGTGAAACAGGTTAAGACAGGCTGTCTGAGCACTTCACCAGCATAACTCAATCTGTTTGTTAACCTCACCACATTTACTCTGAATTCCAAGGCTCGTTCGGTGACTATTCACTAGTTTTAAGTCCCAGGTTTGGTGCTGTAAGGAAAGTAAATGCCTGCTCTCAAGATCTTACACTTTAGTGAAGGCAAGAGAGGAAGACTGAGGCAAATGGGATTTATCGAAAAAGAAGGCAATCTGGACTAGGAGCCACGGATTCATTAGAAATGTAACTCCTACAACCCTGTGTATCAGGAGAGGGGATTGGCTCTGTTGTCACTAATGGGTTAATCCACTTGCATAGTAATGAGTTTTTACTGGTAGGTCTGTTAGAAAAGCAAGCTTGGGGGGCTAGAGAGATAGCTGAATGGTTATGAGGACCAGAGTTCAATTCCTAGCACCAACATGGTGGTTAACAACAGTCTGTAACTTCAGTTCCAGGGGATCCAGCACCCCCTTCTGGCCTCCTCAGACACTGCATTCTTGGGGTGCTATATGTAGGCAAAAGCACCAGTACACACAAACACTTTAATAAAAGCATATTTGGCCACTCTAATAGGCCCCTTTGCCATGTGATAACCTATACCACGTTAGGACTCTGCATAATGTCCCTAACAGCTACATGACATCTAATCAGATGGGTCTATGAATGTGAATGTCTTTAAACCCACAACTGTAACTTTAAATATTAAGCTAAGTTGGTGGCTGCTACACTCAGACTTTCCAGCTCCTAGAACTGTAAGCTAAACAACCTTCACTCTTTACAAATTACCCGGTCTCTGATGCTTTGTTATAACAACGGAAAATGGAATAAAACAAGCTATGTCAGGTATCCATAAATTTGGGCTATAGAGGAAGAACACAAACATAAAACACTAACCATAAACTTGAAAGAACAGACTAGGCTTAATGTCACAAACCTGTAATCCCAGCTACTCAGGAGGCTGAAGCAGGAGGAGTTCAAGCCAGCTGTTGGATGCACAGTGAGTTCAAGGCCAGCCTGGGGTGATTTAATGAGAACTCATAAAAAAAAGAGAATACTAGGAATATAGCTGGATGACAAAGTACTTGCCTAGCATCTATCAGGCCCAGGGTTCAAACCCCTATAAGACAGGCACTTTTTTTGCTGTGGCTCTCTCCTCTTCCTCTCCTCCTAAAATCAACCACCCCCACACTCACAAAGACAACACAAACTTGAAGAGGTTGGTGTGGCAACACCGGCAGTAGTGGGATTTAAACACAACAGGCTCGAAAGATATTGGGAGTTAGTTAACACCTGTAAACACAGAGCAGGCCAAGAAAGGGCAAGAGAAAGGTTGCTGTAAACGAGACACCTCTAAACCAGTGGTATAGAAAGAGAACAAATCCAAGACTGGAATTGAACCCAGCACCGCAGACCAACAGCTGCTAATGTCTCCAGACACTGTTGCTTTCAAGAACAACTCATTGGACAGAGAACCTTGGCATTTATCATATAGTTTCTATTCCACGGTGTTCTTCCCCGCAGCATGTGGCCAAGCTGGTGGACGGGTGGGGGGCAGTGTAAGTGTCACTGAATGCCTGGGCTGAAGAAAGGCATCAGGGACGGGAGAGAAGCAATGGGAGGGTTCCCAGAAGGAGGGCCATCCAAACTCAAGTGCACACCATGGGCTGTCTGTCCCGAGAATTGCACTGCACTCCAAAGACATTCTACACTCACTCGAAATGCAGAAATATTTATTTTGGTTTCCTTCATTATTTTTTTTTTGGAAATTCTGTTTTGGTTTATAAAACATAGAAATAGCCAACACTGAAAGCAAACATCCAAAACCCCATTGTGAAAATTGTCGACTTCTTGTGCAATTAAGAATACAAGTATGAAGTTAGACTACCAAATAGTGTTATTACAATGACGATTCTTTAGTGCAAACCCTGTTGTGCTTCAATAATACACGACACACACTGTCACACAGCCAACAAGAGTGGCTTCAAATGTATAAACGACAACTTGACTAGGTCAAATGTGGCAAAGACTCGCAATAGAGTAAAATGCTGCTAATTTCCCAAATTAACTTTGAAAAAAAAAAAAATCCCTTGAGAAGTTAATCCCAGGATTTCCCCCAGATTTCTACATCCCAGAATTTTGGCTTGACAAATGCATCTCACAGAAACCAGGTAGTTTTACATTTACTTACTACTGTCCATTTTAATAAGTACCCACATTTACCAACTCCCTTAATAGTTTTGAAGACATGCTTTGCCTGAGTTTAATTGGGAGGAAAAAAAAAGCAAGTTGATCAGCACATCATCGTTTGCTAGGAAAACCACGATTGGAGCCCAGTGGCTATCACAGACATGAGCTGGTTCCACGAGGAGCAAGTGGACAGGGGTGGAGGCATCACAGTTGAGCATGGCAGATCCAGGTCATTCTTTGAAATACCATCTTCAATGCAGAGTCTAAGGCAGGATTTCTCATAACCCCTGGGAAGAGGGGGAGGGGACCAGATCTGGAGAAGAGTCTCTAAGAGCATCCTGCTATGTGAGCCAGTGGGAAGCTGCTGGCTCTCGGGAGCTGTCATTTTTTTCTTTTTTCCTTTTCTTTTCCTTTCTTTTCTCTCCTTTTCCTTTCCTTTCCTTTCCTTTCTTTCTTCCTTTCTTCCTTCCTTTCTTTTTTTTTTTGAGACTGGTAGTCACATTGTTATGAGGAGGATCTGTCTGTGTCCCAGCAGGCACAACAGAGACCATCTGGAACCTTTACAAATCAGATGGGTTGTGGGAGCGCGTTGTATATTGGGTGGAGAAGTGGAGGGGAGAGGGATTTAAAAAGAGAAATCTGTGGTCCGCTGTGAATTTCTTCAGCCTGGACACTTGTTCTTATTCTTAAAGGGGCAATTTTCCTCCAGTGCACTGTACTCTTCAAAGCAGCAGACAGCTGCAGGCTGTGCAGCAAGTAGCAGAAATCAGAAAGAGCGAAGTCCTAACCCTCAGTTAGAAAGACAGGAGACAGAGTTTTAACACCCACCTTATCGGTTGAGGAAGTTTTAAATAACTTAGCACTTACGGGTTCCCCTTGACAATATTTAAGGCTCGTTTTGGAAATTGTGTATCACCAGGATTATGGGCTGCAACACAAGAGACTGTAAGGCAGTGTTCCGTGCCCTCTAATATCCTTATGGGAAGACCCTGTGGACAAGTCAGTCCATCATGGCCATTTCCTTTCCTACACTTGCTGCAGGCAGTTACCAATGTGAAGGCCATTGGTACAAGGAGATTGTGGAGGTGTGCCGTTTCTTCAAAGTAGTCTTCCTCACGTTAAATCTTGATGGTGGAATACAGTTCATCTATCTGTGACCTGAAATAGTTCCGTAGCTCTGGCCTTTTTGCCTTCATTGTTGGAGTCAGAAGGCCATTGTCAATAGAAAATAATTCTGTGTGAATAGCAATGCCTTTGATCTGCAAATAAACAAGGCTGTTAAAATGAGGGCAGAAGAAGGCAGACACACAGAAACAGCCTAAGAAGTCTCAACACAAAAGAAGTTCTCAAAGGGGATGAAGACCCGTAAGTCATCTGATCTAACCTCTCATTTCACTGTGCTTTCTCAACAGTAAACATGGGTCCCATTAGGACAAAATTTGGGAGTGTGTGTTAACCTCAGGGAAAAGAGCAGTCACATACTGAGAAAAACCCTGTCACTGGAGAGATGTCCCAGCAGTTAAGAGCACTTCCTGCTCTTCCAGAAGACCCAGGTTCAATTCTCAGAACCCAAGTTAGGTGGCTCATGACTGCCTATAACTTCAGCTCCAGGAGATCTGACACCTGTGTTCATGAGCACATGGGTACACACATGCATGTGCTCACACATGCACACACACACACACACAAATCTTTAAAAAGAAAATGCTTCTGCATCAAACTATTCCTACTATTTCTTTAGGTCTGATCTTCAATCTCTAAAATCTACTCATTAAAAACCTCAAGTCAGGTTCTGTTCTGTACTGAACTGGTGTACTTGGCTCAAAGTCATACCTGTTCAAATGGCTTCAGACCAGCTTCCTTCCCGAGTTTCACCATGTCTTCCAGGATAGCCTTCTGGACATCCTAATAATGTAAGAAAACCAGGTAACTTTCCCTTATCCTTGCAAGCACTGAGGACAGAGTGTCGAGGCAGAAGACGCTCGGATACTTTGGAGTCTCACCTTGTTTCTGCACAGCTCCTCGAAGGAGCCATGAAACCCTCTCTTCGAGGCCCAGGAACCCAGGTTCTCGGTGTCTGGTACCACAATGGCTATGAGAAATGCCTAAAACACACACAAGTGAGTCATTACCAGTTGATTTTTCTACATTGCAGGCCCATGGGGTTAACTGATAATATTGCAAGTTGTGACTCAGAATGTATTCTTAGCACACCACTTCCCAGGGCTGCCTGAGCCCAGGTGAGGAACTACCAGTTCTGAGGTTCAGACATCACCAGTCACTGGAAATCAAAATCTAACGACAAAGCAATTTTTATTTACTTTGATACAGGCTTTTTTACTTGCTTATTTTCTTGTTTTTGAGACCAGGGTCTCATGTAGCCCAGGCTAGCCTTGAATTGATTACATGGTTGAGACTGGCCTTATACTACTGATTCATCTCTCCCTCCCAAATGCTAGGACTACAAGTGTACACCACAGTGCATAGCTGTGTATACTTCTGGAAATTTTATATATAATTAGAATACTAATTTTGGCTTTCAACAGTGAATATGCTTGACTTACAATATAATTTTCTCAACAAAATATTTATAATATCATACATAAGCTAGGCTTAGTAGTGAGTTTAAAAATGTAAAACTTTTCCCCTGGGTTCCTAGCCTGTGTGGTCTCAGGCTCAGATACCACCATTGTGTTAAAGGAATGTAGCAATAAAATGACTTTAGTGACATTCTGCTGCACTCATAGATCAGTGCCTCACTCAGCCATCATCAGAGAAGCTTCTTCCTGCACCAGATGGGACGCCAAACACAGAGACCCACAGCTGGACAGTGTTCACAGAACGAAAGTCTGTGGAACACTCAGTCCTAAGTGGGTGGTCTCCATCAAATCCCTCCCCTCAGGGTTCAGGGAGCACTACAGAAGAGGAGGCAGGAAGACTGTGAGAGGCAGAGGGATGGAGGAACCAAAGGAAACAAGGCCTTCTAGACACTTCAGGAGCAGCACACATATGAACTCAGAGAATGGCAGCATGCACAGGGCCTGCATGGGTCCAAACCTGATAGGGACCCAGCACTGAGCGGAAAAGTGGACATACATCCCCATCTCTAATCCAGAAGCTACCTCCAATTGATGACCACTCACAAAGGAAAAATTAGTTTTCTCCAAGGGAGTCTCACTGGATATACAGGCCACACTTAGGGCAGGCCCCATGGCCAGCAGTGATGGCCAACACAAAACTCAGTGACAACGGTTCTTTATTTAATAAACTATTGTCAGAACCTTTTTTAAAACCATTTTTTTCTTCTGTTTGCTTGCTCGCTTTGTTTTAGTCCAGTTTGTTTTATCTTATTTTATTATTATTCTTTAGATGCTATGTGCTTTCCAACAAGAGACAGAAAGGCGTGAGTTTAGATGGGAGAAGAGGTGGGAAGGATCTAGGGGGGATTGGGGGAGGGGAAACAGTAATCAGAATATATTATATGGAAAAAAATCTCTTCTTTTATTGTGTTTTTGTTGTTGTTTGATTGAGACAGGGTTACTCTGTGTAGACCTGGCTGTCCTGGACCTCTCTCTGGAGACCAGGTTAGCCTTGAACTCAGAGATCTGCCTGCCTCTGCCTCCCAAATGTTGGGATTAAAGGCATACACCACTATGCCCAGTTTTTTGTTTTGTTTTCTCCTTATTTAAAAAATATTCTCAGTAAAAGACAAATAGAAAAAAAAAAGTAAAATGTGACAGGTGTGGTGGTTCACACCTTTAATCTCAGCACTCTCGAAGCTGAGGCAGGAGGGTCTCTATGAGTTCAAGTATGTTGACAAAGCAAGTTCCAGGACAGCCAGGATGACAAAGAGAAACCCTGTCTCAAAACAAAATTGGAAAACTTGGGGCTGGAGAGACAAAGCTATGAGTACTTTTACTCCTGCAGAGTTCCCAGGTTCGGTTCCCCAACTCCTACATAGGGGCTCACAACAACCCATAACTCCAGGGCCAAGGAATCCAATGCCTTTTGACCTCCACAGGCACTAAGTGGTGTAGATGTATATGCATTCATACACATAAAATAAAATAATATTTAAAAATGGAAAACTGTGTTATATTTCATAACTATTAATATTTTCATTCACAATTATATTAGAAACATACTATCAAATCCCTAATATCTTTATCCAACTACTACTGACACACCAGAGCAATTAACTAGAGTTAAAATTAAAATCCAGAAACTGAAGAGAAAACAACTTTTGGGAGAAAAACCCAACCGTGAACCGGTGATAGGGAAACCCACCTTACATGAAGGTCAATGTGTGAACCGGTGATAGGGAAACCCACCTTACATGAAGGTCAATGCGTGAACCGGTGATAGGGAAACCCACCTTACATGAAGGTCAATGGACACGGATTCAAACTGTCAGTCACTTATTCATTTTAATTTTTTGAAACAAGGTTGTTTAGAATTAACAGCCCAGGTTGGTCTCCAACTCATAGTCCCTCACCCTCCCAAGGACTACAATTGTAGACATGTCCTACCTGCCTGGCTGTCAGTCACCTGTAAAGTCCCTGTAATCCATGACACTTGCAATGTTTGGGATGGTTCTAACCTAGAGAGAACATACCTGCAAGCTTTCTCCATGGACAAACACCTGGGCCAAGGCTTCACTTCGCAGGTAGATATTTTCAATCTTTTCTGGTGCTATGTACTCTCCCTGGGCTAGTTTAAATATGTGCTTTTTCCTGTCGATAATCTTCAAGGTGCCATTCTGTGTATCAGAGAGGAAGGGACAATGGGTGAGTTCCAGGCTGGTTTTCCCACCAACAGTCACAGTACAGGGTATTTGAAATTTCCCAGGGCCATTTAGCCACGTGGGGAGAAATTTAAGAGCCTATGTGATGTCTGCTTCCCCCCTTAGCAGCACACTTAGCTCTCTGCTTCACTTAGTCTCCTGTCTGAAGTGGAGACACATATATCCTGCTCAACAAATGAGGTGTGTTCCCTGACAGACAGGGCGTAGCCTTACCCTTCCGCAGCACTCTGCAGACAAAGGCCGGATTCCCATGGCCACTATCATGTCTTAGGGGAAGGCAGGTGCTTCAGTACTTTGGGAAGGGCCAAGGCTAGCAAGCACCCAAATCAAGATAAAAACCTGCTGGTTTTGGGGGATGTCAAATGGGAGGCAGCAATCAACTGAATTTACGAAGCAAAAAAAAGCATTGTGCTACAGTGAAAAATCAAGGTTTTAGTCAAGTACCCTGAGAATGTGTGTGTGGTGGGGAGAGATGCCTCCCTGCAGCTATTCAAAACTGTTCACAAAGAGGACAGGTGACAACTTACTGGCAGCCATTTTCCAATGTCTCCTGTGTGCAACCAGCCATCTTTGTCCACGGCTTCTGCTGTTTTTGCTGGGTCCTTCAAGTAGCCTTTGAACACATTTGCCCCTTTCACACACACCTAAGAAAAGATGGTCTATTAACACCAACTAAGGATTCTCCCAAGAATTCATGTTATGTGCATTCCAACCTTTATCTGGAAACCTTCGGGAATTACCCAAGTCCCATCAGGACCTTGGAGGCATTTTCAATGTCCCCACTTCCTTTCCTACTGACCTCAGGATAGTCAGGCCACAGGGGTAATTAATGGAAGCCACAGATGGAATGACATCACTTGTGTAATTAGGTTTTCCAAACAGCACAGGCAGGGCCATTAGCAGACTGGAGACAAGTCCCCTTGGATTTTTGGGCCCAAATCCCTAACTGTCTCACAGAAGGAAGGACTAAAGGTTCCTGCTCCAACCCTGAGGGGGTCAAACAGAAATGCACCTTTGAATTGACCTGCTGGACTCCAAGATCCCAACAGACTCAAGCTTAACAACTGTATTGAGCACTTTCCCGAACTTTGCTCCTAATAGCAGCTGTTACAGGAGATGCTACTCATCAACGGTGGGTGGGTTTTCACTTACCTCCCCCTCCCCCTTGGCAGCCATGTAGTTCATTTCTTCCACATCAACAAGCTTCAGATAATTGCAAGGCATGGGGGCACCAACATGGCCTACACATAAAACAGAGAATCATTTCAAAGTGCACTATAATGGCCCCAGGCCAAAGCATTTTCACAACAAGTAAGCCTCCTCATAGTGACAGTTGCTATAAATTTCTGGCCTTCGCAATTACAGCCTGGTAATGTAATTTAAAAGGGCTTCTTTCTCGAAGAGAGGTGAGAATATCCCAAGGTCTATTCAGGAACTTTCCCCTTTCTGAGGCTTTGAATACATCTCCAAGTTTCAACCCCAGCCACTGATTTGAAGGTGGGTCCAGATACTTGGAGGCATGCCTTCTAAATAAAGCTGTTGCCTCAATTCCATGACCCCATCAGATTGACTCTACTCACCCATCATCTACCCATATATAACCTTTTTTTTTTTTTTACACTTTCAACTCTTTATATAGCTGAGTATGGTCTTGGTTTTCTGATCCTCCTGCCTATCCCTCACCAGTGCTGGTACAGGCATGCATCACCACACCCAATTTCAAACCCTCTCAGAGAACACAGGTAGCCCTGTCCACCCTGGTAATGCTCTGACACATCCCTTGGTTCTGATTGACACAGTCATTGTTTTTAGAGAAGCATGTTTTTACACTTAGGTCTAGTAAGACATTTCCATAGTCAATTTAACTCTGTTGTCTAAGAGTATTAGGGATGGGCTGTGTGCTGCTTAGTGTTTTTGACAACTTGACACAAACCAGGTCACCTGGAAAGAGGGACCTTAACTGAGAGGTTGCATCCATAACATTGGCCTGTAGGCAACTCTGTGGGGCATTTTCTTGATTAATGATTGATGTGGGGAGGGCCTGGCCCACTGTGGACAATGCCACTCCCTGGGCAGGTGGTCCTGGACCATATAAGAAAGCAAGCTTAGCAAACCATGGAGAGCAAGCCAGCAGTATTCCTCCATGGCCTCTGCTTCAGTTCCTGCCCTGACCTCCCTGAGTGATGGATTATGACTCGAGAGTAGTAAGATGAAATAGACCCTTTCCTTCCCAAGTTGCTTTGAATCCTGGTGATTTATCATGGCAACAGAAGGCAAACTAGGAAGGGTATCTTTTTTCCAAAACAAAAATAAGATACATTTTAAGACTCTCGTGGATAATACTCCCTATGTTTTAATAATCTAATACAGAGATTGTTCTCAGTTCTCTGGCTGTAAAGGGGTGTGGTGTTAGAAACTAAAGGAATAAAGGTGCTTCCAGAGTGTCAGCATTCACTCCTGTAGAATTGCAGGACAGAATTATTGCCAACAGAAATGCACACAAGTCCTTTGTCTCAAAGCAAACAGAGGACGACAGCCTAAGAGCCTCTACAATGGAATCGACTGTGTAGCAAGGGCGAACTGTGGGTACCATGTGAGTGTTCTCCCAGTGACACCATGGGGAGACTGAGTTACACTTGTTGCTTAAATAGCATGTGGACAGGGACAATATTTTGTAGAGAACAATCTCCATATTAGATTATTAAGAGTCTGTGAAACTCTTAATGCATCACCCTTCCTAGTTTGCATTCCAACAACTGGCAGAGAACACAGTACAACTGTAATACCTACTTAGGGGTTAAAAACACCAGCAAATGACAAGACCCTGTTGATCACTGGCAAGTCTGTAGAGGCATATTCTCTCAGATGTCTCTGCTAGGATATATCATAGTCTAACCAACCCTGCTCACAGAACGGTAGGGCTATTTGCCTAAGGTCTAATTCCTTGAGACATATTATGCATTGCTGTGCAAGGAGGCTAATGAACCAATCGATGATGGGCCCATTTCCAAGCATTCCACCTTTGAACTCCAACAAGGAGATTCTGGAAATGACTCTCCTGCCAACCATACCTGCTGTCCAGTCTCCAGGCAAGCTCAGGGAGCAACCAGCAGTGCACTCAGTCTGTCCATAGCCTTCATAGAACTTGGTCAGAGAGAAACAAGACATCATTAATGTGGAACAGCTGTGTCTTTGCAGAAAGTGCACAAGAAATTAAGGAATTCCAGCCTCTGAAACCCTTTAACTTTTGGTTTAGTATGTTCACTCAATAGCATGTTCACCCAATAGCATGAAATGCACCCAAACATCTTCATCCCCACACCAAACACTGGCTGCTGTAGTCCGTGTTGCCATCCTACTCAACTTCCTGCAGACACGCAAGGGGAAGCTCCCACAGGATGGGTCAGTATCCATCCGGTAGTACTCCTGCTCTGCTAAGCCAGGGTATCTACATGTCCTGACTGTCAGCATGAGCCTTGGCCTCCTCTGTAACAGCTTCTCAAGCATGGAGTGTGGGTGGGCTCATCACTAAGACCCTTCCCACCCCTGCAGCCATACTCTATAGAGGCATGGCTCACACATGTTGACTAGGGCCAAGCACACACAGATTTATTTCCCTAGGAAATCTGGCACTAACCTAATCCAAGCAAAACCAAGACATACAAATGAGGGGCCAGGGAGCCTGGTAAGACAACATGTGAGTTCAAGGAGTGAACTCAAGTGATCTAATAATGTACAGCGTGGTGAGTGAGTTCAGGATCAACTGTATGGAAAGCAGAGTAAAATACAATGCACCCTCTACTTGAAAATGTCTGAGTCGTTTCTAAGTATTCTCACCACACACAAAACTGATAAACATGTGGAGTGATGCACTAATTTAGCCATTACCCAATGCATACACACATCATACTACACAATAACAATACATCTTTATCGATCAAAACATGGGCCCATAGCATTACAATGCCCGGTATTACCAGGTGGTGTGATCAACCTTACCTGACAGCCAAGAGCTGTCCTCAGAAATGTTAGCACTGTGGCGGACACTGGGGCTGCTCCTGTGACCATCAGCCGGACTTTTCCACCCAGGCTCGACTTGCAAGACAGAAAGAAGCAGGGTTACCTATGCAGAAGCCAGGGCTCCTCTGTCAGACATGTACTTGGGACCCTGTGTCCCAGGTGGGTAGCTGTCCTGCAGTGTATGGACAGGACTCTCACTTGGGACAGAGCTCTTAGTGTCCACAGCAGGACCCAGGACTATGCTCATTCCTCCCAGAGCTGCCCACGTCCCTTAGCAGACCTGTCACTAAGCCTGCACTCTGAAGGCCCAGGGATCAAATTATGACAACTACCACATTTTTTGGCATCTGGGCATTTGGCATTCTCAGGCTTAATGCATCACCACAGAAGTGGCTGGCATACTTGTTCTAGAGAAGCTAAAGGAAGGCTAACACACCTCGAATTCTTCCACCTAGAACAGCTGTAGCATGGATTGTATGTAGGTAGACAGCTTGGTTCACCTAATAGCCCTGTCTCTTTCAGACAGGTGCCAGAAAGAACCGATGTGTGTTGTTTTTTCTAGGCATCATATCCGCCCCCATCCTCGAGTGTGTGTGTGTGTGTGTGTGTGTGTCTGACTGATCTCTCAAAGCTGTGATGACCATATTAGCAAGCATTCCACCACTGATCTTTGTCTCTGCTGCTCTACCCCTTTGCAAGAGGATTTCACTAATTTGCCCAGGCTAGCCTTGAACTTGCAATCTTCCCACCGAAGCCTCCTGAGTATCTGGGATTACAGACCTGCACCATTCAGCTGTCACTCTCACTCATCCCCTCTGCTCGCACTTGCGCACACGCGCACGTGCACACACACACACACACACAAAACACGAATGCACACACATTCCCATGACTTCACATGAGATATACATGAGGTGAGAGTCCATCTGCTACCTGTATCTTGTGAAAGATGAGTTTATCCCACAGGCTGTTGTTTCTGATGATGCCGCTGCGAAGCTCAGCTTCTTTCCTTTTGGAGGCAAAGTCCAACAGCCATCGCTTCACTGTAGTGTTTGCTTGTCCAAAAATCTAATGAGGCAAGAGGTAAGGTTTTCACATCTTCCAAGACAGCTACAATCAAAAGGGCAGACAACAGTGTGGCAGAGACAGCACACAGGACCAAGCCCCTCTAGGTGTTAACTATAAATCTGCCCCAAGACCCAACTCTATAAGAAATGACATGTCCACAGAAACCTACACACAAGTGTTCTATTATAGCAGGGTTATTTGCAGTAGTCAAAAGCTGAAACCACCCAAATGACTGTCAATAAAAGAATGTCTAAATAAAATGTGCATGACCATACTGGGGAATAGTATCTGGCTATAAAAAAATGATGAAATACTTTTTGAAGTATGATATGGGCTGCTGGGGAATCTAGCAGGTAGGAGGGCGGGGGTGGCGAAAGTGTGGCAGGGCTAGAAAACTTTGACAGCACTGAGGATCTTTGGAAGGCGTCAACACTCCCCACTGTAGTCCCCACAGTGACACCCTCAAAGACCACTGAACCCCACTTTTACTGCTGGGGTTGAACACATATACTTCACTGGGAGCTCTACCCCCAGGCCCTGTACTACACAACTCAAGAGACAAATTGTATTTTATGTGAATTTTATCTCAATGCAACTGTATCAAAGGGTTTTTTGTTTTGTTTTGATTTGCTTTGTTTTTGAAAGAATAAATTTTAAAAAACTAACAGGGATTTTTAGAGATGGCAAGCAAAGAAAAAGGTAAAAGTATTCACAGTGCCAACTAGAAACTCAGTTTGAAGGCTGGCCATGCCACATGCTGTTCTTGCCCAGCTGAGCAATCTATGCTGAGACAGCAGATACCACATCCTCTCAATTGGCGCTGTGGCCTGGACACTTGTCTCGGCAAGGTGAAGTAACTTCATGAACGCAAGGGTTAGTGGAACGGTGAATAAAACCATCTCGTAGTTATTTGGGTGTGATTCATTTAGCACCTTGATGAAACAGGGAGATGGTACAATAGTCTGTGTGATAGATGAGGAATGAAGACCAAAGAGTATGCGAAAATAAACCGACCTACAGCTTACAGATGAGCATCCACAGAGTGTGGTGTCCGCTCCCTTACCAAAAGGCCTGTGCAGTAACCAAGTTCTACTTCCGCATAGGTGTAGACTGAAGCTCCATGAGACTGTTGGTGGCCGTGAGGGGTACATGGCTGAACCCTAGTCAGACTGGCACCAGACCACACAGCCCCACCTTCTGTCCCCCACACTTTACTGTTGGGACTCACTCTGTCAAACATCCGGTTCAGCAGCCTCGGAACCACAGGAAAGATAGTGGGCTGAAGCACCTTGAGGTCATCCATCAGAAGCCTGATGTCTCCTTGGAAAAATCCTATCTTAGCTCCATGACACAGCATTACACACTGCAAGTCAAAACAGACAAGCTTCAGTATGACGAGGAGGGCTCTACTGAACCCAGACCCACAGCAAATGAGCCTGCAGCATCAGTGTTTCAAACCAGCTTCCAGAAACCTTAACACTCCTAAATATGGGTAGTTTCTTTAAAAATGTGTCTGCATTTACTTGGCACTATACAAACATGGAAACTGAGTATTTCACCATCCCAATGACATGGGAGTTATTATGAAACTGGGGGGGGGGCTTCCTAAATGGTAACGAGATGGGTTATCTGGGGCTAACAAGCAATATCTCTCTGTTGCATGAGTTATATGTTATTTTATATACCCCAGATATTTTTTTTAACCTTCCAGGAACTTGAAAGCTTATTTATTCTCAAAATAAAAACCTGTTGCCTCCAGACCAGACTTATTAAAATCTCATTTTCATTTTTGAATCTAAGTAAATTTTTCTGAAAAGATGATAAATTTAGCTTGGGTCAGGACTCCCAAGTGGCTGGCTACAAGATTTCCCCACATGATACTTTCCCTGTGTCCTGGTGTGCTGGTCCCTGTGTGCTGGTCATCCAGACAGACTAGACAAATCATTTATCTGCCTAATCAGTTCAAAATAAAAAAAAGACTCGCCGAGCAATCTCTGGACCTGGGACTCACTGATTAGACTATGCTGGCTGACCAGAGAGCTCCACAGTTTTTTCACATGGGTGTGGGGACTAAATTCAGGTCTTCATGCTTGCAGAACAATCATTTTACCAACTCAGTTATTTCCTTGCCCTTGGTTGGGTTTCAAACTAGGTGCAGAGTTGTGTGCGCACAGGGAACCCAGGCAAAGGCCAGTTAGACACCATCCTTCTTCCCCTGGGCATATGGAATGTCAGTGAAAAGACCCAGACAATTTGTATATTATTGAGAAGCACAAAGAGGGAGGCGTCTTCCAAACAGGTGCCTCGGCGACATCGGATTCAATGAATTTCCTTTAGAGATGGGAACGAATATGGAGACCCACCGCTGACAAGGTGCTAAGTATGAGAGACCAGGGACCCCCCCAGACCCAAAAGGGATGTCTCCATGAAACCCTTCCCAACTGCCTAGGGAGCTCTACAGAAGATGAGGTGGAAAGATCGTGAGAGCCAATGGGGACAGAAGACTCCAAGGAAACGGTGTCTTCTACACACAACGTAACTGATGCACACACGAACTCATAGAGACTATGGCAACACGCACAGGGCCTAACAGGTCTAAGCCAGATGGAGTCCAGCACTGAGGGACACTGGGAAAAAAGCTCCCATCCCTAACCTAGGAACTACCTCCAATTGACAAGTACAAAGGAAATACTGATTTCCTTCACTGAATATACAAATAACACAAAAAGGAGGCCCCATTGCTCAGAAGCAGGCGGCCAACACACAACAAAACCAAAGGTACTTTTTGGAGATGTTTTATCTCATAGCACTTTGAGGGTTTTTTGTTTTGTTTTGTTTTTATTTTACTTGTCTTCTGCTTATCTATTTTGTGTTTTTATGGGTTTTGTTTGCCTCATGTATGTGTGTCTGTGTATGTGTTTCTGGTGATTTTTTTTTCCTCTCTGTGTGTATCTGTTTGCTTTGTTTTATTTTGGTTTTTTTCTTTTTCTTTTTTTTAAACTGGCCTGTTGGTTTTCTAAAGAGAAAGAAGGCATGGAGCTAAATGGGTGGGGAAGATCTGGGAGGCGACGAGGAAGGGAAAACAGTGATCAAAATATACTGTATGAGAAAAAAATTACTTCCAACTAAAAGAAAAAAGTAAAAAGGAAACCTTCCTTTAGAAATAGTTCATCGCCAAGCGTGTCCTATATGCATTCTTTGCATGTTCAAACTCTCTCAACTTTAAGCGGCAGGGTTAAAGTTCAAATACCCAGTTTGGGCCTAGAATAGGAATTCATATTCTTTCCAATAATCTGCGGCTGCAAATGGTGCCGAGCAAAGAATCTCAGCTGTGGGTGGTGGCTGAGCACCACACTTACCTTCATCAGCTGTTCAAACATGTGTGCCAGTGGCAAATACGAAATGTGTGTGTCACTGGCGTTCATGGTCAGTGCTTTCTGCAAGACAACAACAACTTAGCAGGGCACACACGGACAAGCAGAGAGGACACAGTAGATGCCTACCTCTACAATGGTCTCAAACATATGGGCGAGAGGCAAGAAAGATATCAGAGTATCATCTGGGGAAGCGTTGAATGAGTTCTGAAAGCAAGGATACCAGCAAGAAGAGAAGGGTTAAGATCTCCAGCATATCCGCATTATCCATCAGAGCAGGGCACACGGCCCCTCAACACTCAGCAGAGCCTACTTCTAACTCACATCTGCAAATTTTTTTTTTCACCACTGAATCAAAAGTTACTTTTTAAAAAGTATCACTGGGGATAGCACTAGAGCATTGCACATGCTAGGCAAATGCTCTAACAGAACTGCACCCCCAGTCAAAGCAAAGCCAGTCAGAGTAGGAGTCATTCCTCATAATTAAGCACAACCACTTCAGAACTGTTTGCCCTCTGTAAAGTAAATTTGCCCAGATCGGAGTGTTGAGGGATTGTGTGCTCTACTTGTCTTTCAGAACCAACACCCCACCACCAGGTAGTTCCCACTGCCCCTCAAGCAGCGCTCAGACCCACTGCCTGTGAAGACAGCACCGCTCTACTGCAAAGGGATAGGAGAGAAAGGTTTCCCAGGTCCTTTCATTCCCAGCGTAAACGTTTCTGTTAGATGAGTTGGATCAATATTTTTACCTTAAAGCCTCCCTTAAGCTCAGGAAAAACACTCAGTGGTGTTTAAAGCAACATCAAATCAGGCTCGAGAAGATTTGCTCTCTTGTAAGATCCTAACCAAGAAGAGCCTACAGACAGATCAAGTGTGGCTGCCTAGTTTTCCTCAGAGCGGGACTTCTTAAGGATGGGTGAAGTGAGGGCTGGCCCTTAAGTGCCATGTTGTTAACACAAAGAAAGCTTGCAACACAGCTACAGCTGTGTCAACCAGAAATGAGGAGCATGTGTGCGTATATGTATGTGCATGTTGTATATATGTGTGTAAGCTTGTGCACGTGTGATCTGCACTCATTTCTAGGCCATATACTCTTATCCCAAAGCAGCATCAGTCTTAGTAACAATGTACCCTAAGTGGGGTCACTGCCTATGGGATGGGCAGACTATAATTTAGGGTCAATCTAATAAAGTTATAAATGCATCTCAATTAGTATTTCTTGCTGTGAAATTGTTACATAATGAGAAATCAGACCTGGTAATACTCATATATGCATGTGTTTTTATATGTATGTATGTATGTACATTTGTATGTGTGTTAATGTGGACTGAACCTAGAGTTTCAAACGTGGACAGCTTGCTTTCTACTGCTGAGAAAATTTCATACTTTTAAATGTTCTGATATACCACACCAGAGTCACCGTTAGAAGTTTTATAAGTTGCTTCTTGACAATGTGACTATTTTCAGTGGAGATGTGTCATCACTGCAAGTACATTTTAAGTTATCTCTGAAGGCCTACCGGGAAATTTAAATTTCATTTTTAGTGGGGCATTAAGTGTTGAGCTTTGTTTATACAGAAACTTCCCCCAAAAGGGTAGGGGGTGAGAATAAGAAAAGTGACAGTGGTAAAATTGAGTGAAGCACCCTCAAATATCAGCCTTCAACAGCCACCAAAGAAATACGTCCACTCCCCTAAACCGTGAGGTACAGACAGCCTCCTGCAACAAAAAGTAGGGCTCCAGGATGCTCCCAAGAGGCTGCAACAGCACACCATGTTACATGGGAAAAGAAAATGCCATTGCAAAGACAAGCATGCAATCTACCTTTGGGGTTACGGACTGAACTCCCTCCCAAATTCACACCCAACAGTCCTAAGCCCCACGTATCAGGAATAGGGCCCTGAGGTGACTGGATTTGGGAGTATGCTCCAAGCCAACAGCCTGGTGTCTCATTAGAAGAAGAGACATTGGCACACCCAGAAAGAGGAAGCCATCTGCGAGCCAGGGAGAAAAGCCCTCACCAGGAACCAAACTTGCTGGCAGCTGGTCCTGGACTTTCAGCCTCCTAAACTGAGGGAAATAAACATCTGTTGTTTAAGCCACATGGTTGTAGTGCTTTGTTAATGGCAACTGCCAGACTATGACCTGTGAACAGAAGCCTTAAGATGATAGGAAATTAGAGTTTGAGACTTTAATCTTTCTCATACAACGGGAGTCAAACCGACCGCAGGACAGTGATTTAAAACCTTCAGCTGTCTAACTTTTCACTGGTAACTTAAAGAAATTAGGTTCCTAATGCTAAAGACGTTGAAAGGTCCATCTCTCCTTTGTCTTTTCCTAAAAGTACTTATAGAGTGACATCCAAATATCCCCCACACAAAAGCCACCATGAGTTCCATCTGGTGACTCATCCTAATGTCACAATAAGGCTTTAATGATTAGGTCCACAGGTAAACCATCTGAGAGAAGGGGACTTTGGGCCTTATTTACATTTCATTGCTTTTACATGCAGAGTGGACCTAATGGGGAAAGAGGAGGAGGATATTACTACTTTCTCTCTCGGGGCCTAAAGCAATCAGTGAATACAAAGAACCATCATGATACTCTCAAGAATTACCTCTGTTGTTTTCACAAACGCTGAGCAGTCACATATAATGTTTTGGTGAGTGATCATTGCTCCTTTGGGGTTGCCTGCAGAGCACACAGGAAGCAGAGCAAGGTTAGATAGATACTCCACCAGGAACAGCAGAAACCCTCTACCAGTAGGGCCTCAGACACCTTTGTTGGATACCCACTGGGGAGCATTTCTGAGCAATCTCTGATCCTTTCATGGAAACTTACTATCAGGAAATTACCTTAAACATTCATTAATGTCTTTGTGTATCAACAGGGGAGGAACGGGGCATTTTATTCTGCAGAGACCCTGATAGAGTGCATGTTCAATGGGTGCTGAATTAACTACATGGCACTCTTAAATTCTGAGACTGCCTCACAGAACCACAAGATGACCTCACTCAGTCCGCTGCTATCTCTTGCTTTCTTGCATATCTATAATTAGTCAATACATTACCCAAAAGGGAGGCAGAGAGCACAGACTTCCAGATACCACTCTGAAGAGACATCTCAAAATGTACCTGTAGTTCCACTTGTGAAACAAATTATTGCAAGGTCTTCAGGTGCTGGAGGCTGAAGAAAATTTTAAAAGAGATGGTACACATCAGAACAGAATAGATCAAGCCATAAGGTATCACCCCTCATTTCCAACAGTCTCCAGTACGACTTGGTATTGCAAAGATCAAAAGGCTGCAACACAGAGTAACCCAGGATGCTTACCTTGGGCTTCTTTCTGTTCACTTTTCCAAGGTCCTTAATTAGAGAAAGAGAGAAAAAAACAAAACACAAAACCTCAGTATTAAGATTTTTCTAACTATTAAAAGTAAAGTCAGGACTGTGAATAAGGCCCAGTGGTTAAGAACACTGGCTGTTCTTCCAGAGGACCTAGATTGGATTCCCAGAACCCAAATGGCAAAAACTGTCTGTAATTCCAGTTCCAGGGGATCTGATGCCTTTTCTAGACTCAGTTGGTGCACACATGTGCTTCACGGACATACATGTTGGCAAAACACCCAGACTCATTTAAAAAAAAAAAAAAAAAAAGTCCCACAAGTCACTGCTTTTACTACAGATTTCACTATCAACTGGCTAGAATGCCATTATTCAAATTAAGTGAGTTAGAGTAATGTTAATGAACAAAAGCCATAATATTTATTGTTCAAGGAAGCCATTTTCCAGTTATCTCCCTCTTACATAAAACTGTATAAATGGTCTTGGAAGTAGGATGGATTCCAAAGACAGCAAAGGCCTCTGCACTGTATTCCACCCTGATTCCTTGTCCTAGGATGATGTTTAACAAAGCCTCACTATTGACCATAAGCAAAGACCTGCTGGTCCTCAGCACGCTCTCCTATTAGAGGATACACTCCCTGACTGCCTGGCTCCACTTTAAAGTCCTCTTCACAGGTAGAAACACTCTCTGCCCGATTTAAATGCTGGCAGTGTTAGGGCGTCTCAGACATCCATGCTCCACACACATGGGAAGGAGGTCTTGGGTACTCTGAGCTGAAACAGGCTGCAAGGAGAATGGGAGGCTGCTTCTGGGATGGGCATCAAGAGGGATCTAGACTCTGTCCTTAGACATAGCTGTGCCCAGTGCCCATTTCTGCTACCAGTTTATTTCATTAAGCAACCTTCATATCCAGTCACAAAGAAAAAAGAACTCATATTCTTTTCCTAGGAAAAGTGAGCGTCTTGAGAATGCATGTGGCATACACTGGCATCTACTGCAAAATGGAAATTAGATGGGCATGCTCAGAGCTCCACCTAGCACACTTTTAATCAATTTAAATTACATCCATCATAACCAAAGGTTAAAAACAAGAACACCGATGTCTAATTAGAAGTCAACTAGGGTTGGGCACTGCAGCACACACCTATAATCTGAGGCAAGAGGATAGTTTGACCCAGGAGTTCCTGATCAGCCTGGGCAACATACACAGCCACCAGCTTTAAACAAAACAAAACAAAAACCACTCCATAGTCAACAAGGACTAAAGCATAGTACTTTTACAAATTATTCTCCAAATAACTATTATTAACTTTATTGATATCTACTCATCTATTCAAAATTTTCTCTATTCTGTTGTTGTTGAGGTAGGAGCTCACTCATGTAGGGCGGGTTGACCTCAAAATAGCTTGGTAGCTGAAGGTGACTTTGAAATGATCCTCCTACTTGCACTATATAGGCATGCACCACCATGCCTAGATAATCTGTTCAAAATTCTTACATGATCTCTAGAATCTTCAGGTGATGTTGAGTAAGATAAAGCCATAGTCATATGACTTAGGATAACAGACACAACCTCCACTGGTATATTATTTGGGGTTGTAGTTTCAGAGACTTTAGTCTGTCTGATTATTTCTTAGAACAATACAATTCCTTTTAAAAGTGACCATTTTAGATTAAAAATGAGTACGACTGAGTTCTAGTGAGTGACAAGCATATTGGAGTACTTATGAGTAATGAAATCTGTTACCTAATAAAAGCATGGACGGGTAAGTGAATATAGGGGTAAATGAATGCTGAAGCAGATGTGTTAAAGCCCTAATCACAAGCTGTTTAGCAGGAAGATGGGAATATGGCTGAATGTTTATAATTAAAATATAGAAGAGGCAAACCCTCCAAAAGCCTAGATTCTACAAATATATGCATTAAAATGTAAGCATATAGTAATGTAAATGTCCTCACAATCAACCACATGTGAACTTTACATTCTTTTCTCATTTTTGTTCACAGAGTGTCTAAAATTCATAAACCCCATTAAGCAGGTAAGTGTGAAACAAGATTTCAATATAAACTCTGTGCTACAATTGTCATTCATTCATCCATCAGAGTAATATTTATCATGAAGTGCTTTAAAAAAATGCAAAGGAAAAGAACTACAATGTGTATGCATCTCGGAGGAGAGAAGAGAAAGGCAGGGAAGGGGGAGCCAAGATTCCAACAATATGAAAGGAGACCACAAATTTAAACACACACACACACACACACACACACACACACACAAAACCACTCAGTGGGAAATGTAGGTAAAAAGTTAGCTAACTTATAATTTAAAAATGAAGCCTAGGCAAAAGTGAACATGGAGTTGTTCTGCACACTTTGTTTGTGCATGTGTGCATATGAATGTACACATAGTTTCGTGTCAGTGTTGCAGTGATGAGTTTCCCTCTGACTTGGGAAAGATCCCACAGACCCTGCTCTGTAGCCTCTAATTCTCTGTAGAAGGAAGAGCAGTAGACATTAAAAACCAAAACCTTATTTATAACAGTTTCTCAAAAACATCTACATCTTCAGTCACAGTGTGGCTTCCTCTTGGAATCTACTACCTATGATGCTCATGCATACAGGGCCTCCTGCAGGCTTCCATGCTTCCTAACCTAAGACCAGTTTTGGGGTCAGATCATATGCACCTGCTGATACTCCTACAATGGTTATGGTTAACGTTGTGCTTAAGGGAAAATAGACCATATCCAAAATAAAAACAACAAAGAGATAAATGAGTTGTGCCAGATAGTTTTATGTCAACATGACAGAAGCTAATATCATCAGAGAGGAGGGAACCTTAATTAAGGAAATGCCTCCATAAGATCAGGCTGCAGGCAGATCTGTAGGCATTTTCTTAATTAGTGACTGATGGAGGAAAGCCCAGCCCATTGTGGGTGGTTCTGGGTTCTGTAAGTTAACTTGACAAAGCTAGGGTCATCTGGGAGGACAGAACTTCAATTGAGAAAATGCCCCCGTCAGATTGTCTATAGGCAAGTCTATGGGGGCATTCCCTTGCTTAATGATTGATATGAGAGGGCCCAGCTCACTCTGGATCATGCCCACCCTGGGCAGGTTGTATAAACAAACCAATTGAGCAAGCCATGGGGAGCAAGCTAGTTGACGGTTCCTACAAGGTCCCCCTGCCCTGATGTCCTATCATAACTGACGGTGATTGGGACATGTAAACCAAATAAACTCTTTCCTCCCCAAGTTGCTTTTGGCCATGATTATTTAACACAGCAAAAGAAACTTAACTGGGACAAATAACAAATTCCTGTGATCCCAGCATTGGAGAGACTAAGGTGAAAAATCTGCTACAGGTTCAAGGCTAATCTGGGCTCCACAGTGAGTTTTAGGCCAGCCTCAGCTATAGAGTGAGACCATCTTAAAAAACCAAGACAGGCAAAACAGATAAATAACTTGGTGTGTGAGCCAAATCTTTGTCTAGTGGAATGATGGGAATTTTGTCCTCTATCTTTACCGTGGCTTACCAGCATAGGGATGACACAGTGTCATTGGGCACCACATCCAACCCTTCAGAAAAGTAGGCTGTGTGGAGGACTCACCTCCAGGGCCTTCAGGCTGATGATTTCCACCCCACACTTCTTGCCTCGTTCCACCAGATCACTGCCATAGGAGTCCATGATGACTATGATTTTAAGGCAAGGCGTTAGCTTATTTTCTACACCTTCTAACAAGAGTTTGGCCTTATCGGGCTTGTCAGCAAAAATCACAGCGAGTTCAGCTGTAAATGAAGAGGTGATAAGGAATGAGCCCTGGGATGTCAAAAGCTTGACTGTAATATATGACATACAGACACTAAGCATGCCGGAGTGATGCAGATTTCATCATAATATCCCCCCAAGCAGATATTTGAATGTAACGTCACCACATCTAAACCCGTAACTAGGACAATGATGGTGCTAAGACCAAAGACGTACCTTTGTTCACTATGTAGGTGATGGCTTCAGCTCCAAGGGTATCGTAGAGTGGAACCACCACCATAGAATAAGAAAAGCATCCCTGCTCGATGACCACCCACTAAACAGTAAAAGTCAGAGAAAGAAAAGGTGATGTCTCTCCAGAATCATTGCAAAAGGCAATACTCAGAAAGTCAAATCAGAGGCATCTACTGTAGCATCTGTCTGTCTGTCTACCACTGTGCACCACGTACCAGGAGAGTTCAAAACAAATACTTGCTCCTCCTTTTTATTTCTTCTACTCTTGTAATCTTCTCCTTCTTTTAAAATTATTTTTTAAGTTTGCATACAAAACTCTGCCCCTTCTTAAAACCAAACTGCAATTTGCCTAAAGAAGAGAGGCAAGTGAGTGGGACCATGACAAGGCAAGGCAGTGACTGGCTTAGAGAGCAGGGACTTGCTGTAGCTTCTAGATGGCTGCAGATACCTTGATGGGGAGAAACAATTTGGGGTATGGGGGAGACAGGGAGAGAGAACAGCAAGGGACTTACAATGTCTGAGGCTGGGAGGCCAGTGGGCAAGCAGGCTAGATAGAAGCCTGGCAGTAGAAGGGAAATGGGGTCAGGCTGTGCCCCAGCGTCTGGCTCTACTCCATGGGCCACCTGGAACTACTAAGGTATTCTGGACAGCACGTGGTTGTGGGGTTTCAGGAATGTCAGTCCCACAGCAGTGTGTGGTGAGGTCTGGGAACCGGGGAGGAATCCTTGAAAACAATCCTTCCTCGTAAAGTGACCAGGGAAAGCGGAGATACAATAACTGGTTCTCTGGCTGCATAGCAACTCGCGCTGATCTACCAGACATGTGGCATGGCTCCTCTTTCACTTACAACTCTTCATCCCAGCTTCACTTTTCAAACGACACCACAGGGTGCTGATCACAGCACAGAAAAGGCTATGGCTGCTGTGGGTGAGGAGCCTCTGGGTCACATGCATGTGACCTGGGATTTCCTCCAAGACTCTACTCGGGCTGTCTGTCCTTCCTGTGTCCACACTTAGCACATTTGAGAGGAAGCATCAGTAATCTATCCCTTGAAGGGGTTTGTTTTGTGGTTGTATGAGGGTGATAAAAATCCTCCCGAAGCAAAAATTTTTGATATGTTTCTGAGATATTCAAGAAAACCAAATCACTTCATGAGACAACGGGCAGGCCAGCTGTGGACCATGCTACTTCTTGTCAGCTGACACTTTAACTTATGAAAATCGGTCACAATATGGGGAGAGCGGAGCCAAGATACCTCTCTGCACATACGCAGGTATGAAAATAAATCTTGGATTTCTCCAAGGCAGCTACTGTGGACACAACTGGCTAGCTAGCAGTGCTCTAAGAAGGACTTCCCTCATCAAGCCGTTTTATTTATTTTTCAATTATTTCTAATTGTGTGTGTGCATGTTTACACACACTCAGGGGTACCCATGGAGACAGGAGTTGGAGTAATAAATGGTTGTGAGCCACCTGATATGGATGCTGGGAATCAAACTCAGGAACAACCTCTCCAGACCCTCAAGTCACTAAGAGCAGGCCTCCATAGCCAATAACAGCTGTATACTGCCACCAAGGCCAGCTCAGCATGGGTATTTCACAGTATTTTAAGTTTGGAAATTTGATCAGAAGAAAGGCTCAGACCTTACAAGAAGTTTGCTACTAACAAAATGTATCCATGATTTCTGCTCCAATTTATTATTAATAACTTATTGATGCCTTTTATCTAGTCACAGAGGTAGCTAGCCCCTGATCTGACATTTTTTCCTAAGAGTTTTGTTTGACCACTTGAGTTAAGAAAAATGTAAACAAACAAACAAACAAAAACAAAAACAAAAAAAAAATCATGGGGGAGGCAGGCTGTGATTTTTTTTTTTTTTTCTCTTGTAAGTTTTTAAGAAATTCTCAGTTCAGGTTTTTATACCTATAACTTTCTAAGGAAAAACCACAAAGCCATATTCCCAGCAGAAAACAGACAACGATGTCCAGTCCCCAGCGGCTGCAGGTGTGAAACCACAGAGAACTGTGAAAACCCTGTATAGTAAATGGCTCGTGGTTAATACCTCAGGTCTGTTTTGAGAAAAGATGCCGATGAACTGATCTGGGGAGGCCTTGAAACCCTTCTGGATCAGCCCAGAGCCTATGCACTCAGCCAGTTCTTCGACCTGCAGGAAGGGAGGCAAGTATTATCAAAGGCCAGCATTCTCACAGCAAGGACTTTATCAAAACTCACCGGTGACACTAGGGTCACAGCTGCAAGCAGAGGTATTCAGAGAAGGGGAGCAACGCCTTTTAAAAACGTTTGCACAACACAAGGTTTTATTCACCAACACAGCATTAGTGGGCTTGGCTATAAGGACTCCTTCTGCAAAGCAAATTATTCTCAGTTTGCAGGTCCCAGATGATTATACATCAGGGCTTCCTATATAAGTATGTTTCTATTTTAGTGTTACAAAATGATAAAGAATAAAGAGAGACTGTTTTATTTTCTTTTGAGAGGTGTTGTTGCTTGTCTGTAGTGCTGGGAGGGGAACCTAGGGCCATACACATGCTAGACAAGCATTCTAAAAGGACCTTGTCCCCAGTACTTGACTTCTTCAGCTGGTTCAGGCTAGCCTCAAACTCACAGTCTTATTGCTCTTATGCTAGGATCACAGGTATGTAACAAGAGGCCTGACTAAGTTTTTCTTTCATTTATAAAACACTATAAAAGTGACCAAACTCCTCAAAATCTGTCATTAGAAACAGCTTTAAAAAAAAGAGAGAAAGAGACTAAGCTTTTGTTTGTTTTTTGCAACAGGGTTTGCCCTGGCTGTTGTGGAACTTGCTCTGTAGAACCAGGCTGGCCTAGAACTTGTAGAGATTTGCCTACCTCTGTCTCCCAAGTGCTGGGATTAAAGACATGTACCACCACCTCTGCCCAGCTAATACTAAACTTTTACTCTACAATCCCATTCTTGAGATTTCTTTTTGGTAAATAATACAATCTTAGGAGGAGATTTTTAAAGGCCTTACATGCAGAGATAAAAACTTCAAAATTACCTAAAGTGAATAATTCCAGGGGAAAAATAAAAAACAGCTGGGTGGTTAAGTAAATGACAGTAATCCCCAGAGGGGTAGCTGGCAAATATTACAACTCTGAGAAAGGCACAGAGTCTAGGGAGTGTTGATGATAATGATGAGTAATAAAAGTAGATGAAAACCAACACTATAATACCTAAACAAAAACAGTCACAAAACTTAGGAAGACACACCCATGGCTACCCTCTGGCCACTCCTACTCTAAATTAATTTTTAAAAATTTAAACCTTAAAGTGTTAGGCCAGGTGGCGGCAGCACACACCTTTAATCCCAGCAGAGGCAGGGGGATCTCTACAAGTTCGAGGCCAGCCTGGTTTATATAGTGAATTCCAGAACAGCCAGGGCTATATAGAGTAACCCCATCTCAAAAAAACAAAAACAACAACAACAACAAAAAAAAAAAACTTAAAATTGAAGAGTTCTTTATTCTCAAGAGTTCTTTTAAGGTATATCATTCCAATAGGAAAAACAGCCATACCATCCTTGCCAGGAATCCTGTCAGTTCTCGTATCTGACACTATCCCAGGCCTACCTAAGAAAATCAGAGTGCCATTGGCCAGGTGACAGGACAGTGACACAGTATCTTCTAGTCTTGATGAGTTCACAAGTCTAAAGTTGAATTTAAGGCATTGGAATTTAAGAAATGCCAGTAACTGTTTGCAGGGTTCACTGGGACAATACGCATACATTTATATCTCTAGAAAGACCGTCTATTTTGCTCTCAAAAAATAAACAAAACTCAAAGAGATTCTTATTTTCCTAAAAGTCAGTCTTGTTAGCTGAGTAAAAAGTAAACGGAGATAAAAATCTCTACGAAGCTAAAGCTGGCTGCAGTTAAATTCAGCTCTGTGCCTTTGCCAAGCCTCCGGCTGAACTGTGCAAATCACCCAGCAACACCTTCAGAAATGCCAGGGACTTTCAGTGTACCTTGTAATACCAATCTGCAACAGATGCCTCTCTTTTTCTGGCCAACAAATCTAACAGAAACAATGCAGAGAGCACTAGGGGTGTCTGTGAATCCTGGGGGCTGTCACACAGTGCCCTGTGCCCAACACATAGTCTTGCTATACAGACTCTGGAAGCAACTGTCGTAGTGGTCTGAGGTGGTCTCACTCTGCAGATCAGAGTTGGACTCTGCCTCAATATGTAGCCAAGGCTGGTCAGGAACTCACAGTGACCCTCTTGCTCCAACTTCCCCAGTGCTGGGAGTACAGATGTGAGCCTTACTGACTAATGAGGGAAAAACAAGCAAACAAAAGGCTGGATAGAAACTGGTTTGGGTTTTGGTAAAGCCAAATAGAAAGAGGGAAAACTCTCTGGTCATGTGAGCTCCTGGCTCCTTCCATAGGCAAGGAATTATAAGCTGATCTCTCTTGTTTTTCTTGAGAGACACATACTACCCAAGCAGAGTGAGCGAGCGTTGGGCATTCTGGTCCACCCTCTGAGGAGGGAAGAGGACAAATCCAGAGCTTCAATCCAAGAAGCTCTGACAGGTGCTATTCTCAGGCTGGGGTATGTGGCTCCAAAGGACAAGTCCCCCCAATATCCACACCCTCAGACAAGCCAGCTACTAAAAACAAAGAGGGAGAAGGTCAGTTTGTGTTCATGAGTGTCACAGGGTTACCTGGACCCAGAACGAGGGGCAGAAAGCCATTTCCTGGACAGCTGTGTAGGAAAAAGGAAGGCAGCTAAACTGCGTTCCCAGCTGTGCCTGCCCATCCTGAGGCCAGACCGGAAAAGCAACAACAGCTTGATTCTGTGTAATCATAATGAGAATAAAAGAAATAAAAGGTGACGTCTTTCTGCTCTGCGACCCACTACTCACAAACTGTGATTCAAACAGTTGCAGCCACTAATGAGCAAAGGTGACAGCATTAAGTGTGTGAATATCTGGGATCTTAGCTTTAGGTTTATACAGACAGGCAGGGGGCTCCTCTGAACATCCGGGCTCTTCCCTATGGCTTCTGAGGGATTAAATGTTACACCCTGGAGAGCTGGTCAAGAACAGTTTTGAAGATCAATGAACAGATGCAACATGCCCATGGCACACCTGGCTAGGTCTGGTTTCTGCCATTCACACTGTGTGAGTCTGAGCAAGTTATACCGTTTCCTGGGACATGTTTTCCTCATCTATAAAATAGGGGGACACTCCAAATTGGGGTTCCTAACTTTCCTAGAACTCCTCAGACAAAGACAAGTCATCCTATGCCAGGGGTGGGGCCCCAGTAGGGAGACCATTTGCTTCTGAAGACTTCTAAAATTCTGAAAAGGTATACTTCCCAATAATCCATATAGGTTGCCAGTAAGTGCTTCAAGCTATCGGTTGCTAGAATTTCCCAGGATTCACTATGCTCTATTTTTCCACAGGTGCTCTGGAGTTCCCTACTGCAACAATCTTTCAGCAGTGTGCTGGACCAATTTACAGAGCTGTTCCTACAGGTTGACTCTGCAACAGATCCCACAGGCTGTGCTTAAGCACTTGGCCCCTAGCTAGTGGCAGAACTCTGGGAAGAGGCAGAACCTTTCGGACATGAGGCCTAACTGGCATACACAGGATCATAGGGACTAGCCTTGGGTTTAGGCTAATCCTGCTGCAGATTGGGTTTGGCTTTAAGATCTGCTGAGATGTTAACAAGCTACACAGTCTGCATGCACAGCCAGGCACCAAGCCTCCCCAATGACGGGGGAGGAGGGGGAGGAGGGATGGGGACAGGGACGGGACTGACTGAATACCCATAAACTTGAGCCCCAATTAACCTTTTTCTGCATTTACATTGAGTCTTGGCCACAGATATAAAGAGAGCTCTCAAAGCCAGGGAACTTACCTGTTTGTAGGAAATCCATTCATAGGGCTGGTTTGGCTTTCTAGAACCTAAACATGGGCCGTTATCTATAAAAAGAAAAAACAAAGATGAAGCAAAAGATGGCCTTGACCATTTAATATTCCTGCATTTTGTTTCTTCCTTGATTCCTCAAATATCAGGTAGACTCTTGTCTTCAAATTAGAGATTGTGAGTTCATATTAGAAATGGTTTTTCTCCTGGAGTCTGAAGTGATTTTTATGTTTGCTTATTTGCTGTTTCTGAAACAGAAAGAGGTTAGCGATAAATAGAAGAGAAAGGAAGATATTAATATGACTGACTCTTGTTGTTGGTTTGGTTTATGAGACAAGGCCTTTCTATGATGTGGCTCTGGCTGTCCTAGAACTCACTTTGTAGACCAAGTTGGCCTTGAACTCACTGAGATCTACCTGCCTCTACCTCCCCAATGTTGGGATTAAAGGTGTGAGCCACTGCCGCCCAATTAACAGGATTTTCAAGAACATTTAACCCGTGACTTTCACTTTATGCCAGGGGCTGAGTGTACAGATGCTATCATGGGTTTTCAGGAGAGGCAGCCACCAGAATTTCTAGGGAAGTTTCAAGCATTAAGTGTTTCCCCAAAGGTCATGTGTTGGATAGAGGCTCAGGTGCCCCCTGACTGGCTTCTGAGAAGTGGATGGAGGGGTCCTGAGGGTTCTGACTCAATCACTGGGCTAACCCTTCCATGTGCTTGTAATACGGTGGCAGCATTGGGGAAACATCCTTGAGGACAACATCTTGCCCTGGCTGCTCCCTGTACCCTGCCCCAGTCCTGCTAACTTTCATTATCTCACCCCAAAGAAGGAAGGGGAAGGGGAGGGGGAGGGGTGGAAAGATGCCACAACATCTAGGTTCACCAGTCCAGGTCTGAATGTGTAAAGATGTTGTGATTTGGTTTGGGGACATGGGAGAATTGGCAAGGAAGACAAAAGAATGGTTTCACCAGGGGCTGTGACAGGCCTGGTTTATGCCTAGAGAAGTGTGGCATGCAAATGGACCCAACTGTCAGTAAGTGGTGGAGAAAATGGGACGACACGAGCTGGATTTGCGGCATGCTCCCTAGAACAGACCTGACAAAAAAGAGTGCTTCTTCCAGACTCTTCAGTTTACAGCGCTGTAACCAAGGCCGAGAGTTCGAGAGAGGGTCAGCAGCTCTGCTTCTCAGATGGGAGATCCCTCAGCTACAGGAACTGACACCATTTTATACCCCAAGAACCAAGGCAGGCAAACTGCAGCCAAGGGCCATAATGAGCCAATGGGGCTGTTTTGTAAGCAGCGTTAGTAGAACACAGCCTTATTAACTCATCCGCCTACATCTGAAGCTGCAGAGATTATTTGGCCCCAAATGCCTAAAGCCTAAAGGACTTACTGTTTGGCTCTCTATAGGCACAACACACTGATCCCAGCTCTAAAACTGTGGATAAGCAGCAGCTCACCTGCAAACCTGAAAACCATCCATCCCCAGGCCCTGCCGCTAAAATCTGATAGAACTGGATGGCTCAGCATGAGCTTTAGTACTTTTTAAAAAAGCATCCCCAGGTGATACTAACATGCGGCTAGGTGCATCTTAAAGATAGTAGGCTTAAGGAGTTTGGAGAGATGGTTTAGCAGTTAAATGCACTGGCTGCTCTTCCAGAGGACCCAGGCTCAATTCTCAGCACCCAAAGTTCATCTCTAACTCCAGCTTCAGGAGGTCTGATGCCCTCTTCCGGCTTCTGTAGGCACTTCGTGTAAAGGGGGCACAGGCAAAATGGACACATAAAAATAATTTTAAAAAATTAAAATCAGGTTTAAAAAGCTCTAGGCTAGTTTCTCCTGCCATTGAACAAACTTCTGATCATCTCCGCAAATGCTGGGCTTTATCCTCTACCATATTTCAAACACCCTAAGAAAATTAAAGTTTAGGGTAAAATGTCTCTTGGAGGAAAAAAGGGATCATGGATTAAAAAAGCCACTGCCTTTAATCAATCATATTGAGAAAGCTTACATTTCCATTTCCTGTGATTTACCGAAGACCACTCATTTTCCAATTAGACAAATGACAACAGAACAGAAAGTTGCCTAAGTGTCAGAATCTGTAGTATAATCCCCCAGATCCTAGATACACCCCACTCTCTGCTTATAGAGGAAGGGTGGTACATAGCTTACAATACATACATATATTTTCATGTAGCCTGATGCTGGTCCGCTCTACCTCAGGGAGATTTACAAAAGGTTCACATGGTAAATGATACACAAGGAAGTTTGCTTTCTCTTTACAATAGGCTAATGAGCCTTTATAGGAATATTCAGCTGGATACAATGGGCTGAGCAATCAGAGCACATCGGTGTCAGGCAATAAACAGCAGGTACTTCTTGAGTGTACATGTGTCTTGTGGGGGCACAGAGGATGCAAGCTCCCCCGGTTCCTGACTGTAAGATCACCATCTACCTGCCAGTGACAAAAAAAAAAAAAAAAAAAAAAAAAAAAAAAAACAAAACAAAAAAAAAACCAACAACAACAATCAGAAGCTGTATAGGATCTTAAAGTCTATTTCTATAGAGAAATCTCAGAAAAGCAAAAATCATCTTTCCATAGAATGTTCTTTTATGGACAATACATTGAGTGCCCAGTGTACACAGGCCCTGACAGACCCTGTGTCAGTGCTGTGGGGAGAGCAAAATGGAAGAACGGGTTCTCAAGTAGCACAGGCTGGAGGGCAAAGGGTATGGCATGCTAGGCGAACACCTCTGAATGGTGAAGGGTTATTGCAGAAGCAGATGTGAGATGCTGAGAAGAAAAGGGGGAGATGGCCTCACTAAGATAGGACTGAAAAGGACACGCCAGGAAGACGTTTATTGAAACTGAAATGCAGCAGGGGGTTAAGAGGGTACCAACAGGTCAAGGACACTGCAAGGGTGGGAAGAGCAGGATTATGATCCGGAAAAGGGGAGTGCATGAAGACACGAAGGGAGGGACCAGCAGTGGGCTGGCTGGAGGGCTGATTCAAGGTGGGGAGCCAGAGAGAAGCTGTAACAGAGGCGGGTGATTGGATAGCAAAGGGCTCTCTGGTGTGTTTCTGATGGGGTACAGCTTCCCTGGAAAGTTAGTATTTCTCTCAAAATATGTATGCTTATGGCCCAGTAAGCTTGAAAAATGGTGGGCCAGGGCTAATTAAACATTAAAAAAAAAAAACTATAGGAAACACTGGAGTCCAGTATATGCTATTCTGCATCAAATACAGGACGTATTTGCTGACAGAGGACATTTGGAGAATCCTAAGAGCTTTGAGATTGGCTTTGACAAGTTATAAGGGACAGGCAGGACATGAATAACGCTGAGAATGTGAAAGACTGGCAGATGTGCCTGTTTGAAAGGAAGGCTGATCATTCCTCATGAGAAACAACAGCAAAGTGTCAGTCACAACAGTGCAGCTAGGGACTTACTTGACACCTGAATGCCCCTCTGGAAGCCATCATACAGTGTTCTGACATCATCGTAGATGTACACCAGGAGCTTGTCACTGTCGAGGAGCGCTGATCTTCGAGCGCCATCAGTACCCTATTGGGAAGGACAGGGGCAAGCAGAATGTTAACAAGAAGCCCATAGCATCACACTTTTATAGAGGTGCATGCTGTGGCCAAGTGAAGCTAATCAACGTGCCTATTTTTCCCAAGGCTTGTCATTTATTTGTGGTACAACACTTAAAGTCTACTGTCCTAGCCATTCTCAGGTAGATAATAAATCCACTGTACTGAATGATGGCCATGATGCTGTAAAAGAGATCCTAGAGCCTATTTTACTGACTGTACACCAATATATGCAATTACTATTCGTCAGTTCGATGTAAAATAAATACAAACTGCTATGCAATGCCTAGCAGCTGGATGAAGAGGTACAGAATTTGTTGATGTGTTCGTGTAAGTTCCCTTGAAGAACCATGGCGGCTCTGGAGAATCGAGGCTAAGACAACATGGCCATGAATGGAGTCTTGAGGAAGAAAAACTAATGAGGAGGAGGAAATACGAAGCTGCTCACAGATTCATAAATACCTGTCCTGCCAGACAAAGCCAAAGAGGGGGAGAGGACAACAGAAAAATGCCACTACCTTGAATACCCAAACCACATCCACAACAGAGCAGAGGATGAGCCTATCAGATTGGGAGAAAACAACAGACCACTCAACTTCCGTGAGTTACCTACACAAGGGTACTGCTACAGCTCGCTCTCTCATTATCAAATGCAATACACTCCATAAGAACCTACAATTCCTCGAGTGGCACCTCAGGTGTCAGCTAATAAATAAGTGTGAGCAGATGCAAGTCTTTCCAGGTGTTTGCGGGCAGCATAGACAGGTGTGCACACCTGCTGCTGACCACTTTCCTCTAAGTTGTCTCCACCTGCTGGGACCTAAATACAACTCTATGTACGGAGTCCTGACTGTGAACAGAATGTCAGTTCCTAGCCCCCTGAAGTAGCAGGAGGAGCTACTGAGCTCTCTAGGACCACAAAGATACTACAGGAGGTCCAGAGAGCCACAGGAACCCCTCAGACATTCTCTCCACACTGGTAGGTAAGAGCTCAACGACTGGGTTAGAGCCTTCTTCCTATTACACATTTCAGAGGGGCCCTTCACATTTACAGCACCCAGGAAACCCTTGAGGGAAATCCAGCACTGCAAGAAGGGATTGTCCAAAAAGTGGAAGAGATCACTTCTGGCTTGAGGTTTGGTGAAAGAAAACAGGAAACCACCCCAGTAAGCAGGGTCAAAGAGCAGTCAGAGTTGAAGTTCAGGCACCCTGGCTGCCCCATGCCATCCACAAGGAAGTCCTATTGATACGGTGCTCAGGACAGCACCTTTTATGCTACTCATCCACTCTTCGGACAGGGAACCATTCATTCGTGGCATTCCTCAATACAGGGCCACCTCTTTAAAAGGATGACACCTGCGTTCCAGAGAGAGGCTCTCACAGTTCTAAGTGGAGCAGCTGAGAGTCAGGTAAGCAGGGAGCCTAAGGCTTCTCTGCTATGCTTTGAATCTGAAATGTCCCCTGCAGCCTCATGTTCTGAATGCTTGTCCCCTACTCATTGGTGCTATTTCCAGAAGGCTGCTGAACCCTTAAAAGGTGGGGCCTATCTGGCAGAAGTAGGACCCCAGGTATAGGCCTTTGAAGGTAACAGAGACCCTCCAGTTCGTCCCCAGCTCCTTGCACCATCTGCCATGATGGGTATAGCCTCTGACACACAATCCACTGCTATGAACTCAGCTGCTCCGTCAGGCCTTCCCTACAATGGGGGATTGATACCCTCCGAAACTATGAGGCATGGTTCATTGAGCCCTCCTCCCCTAAGTCATGATCAAACTCATACATAAAGGAATATCGTGAAAATGGTGCTGTTGCTTTGACTGAACCAGACCACGCTGTTCTCAGACTGTTGGCAAGGATCTGCGGGAGCAATCTGGAAGACTCTGGAGATGCTGCTGTAAAGCTTAATGAGAGGTTATGGTAGGGGTCTGGGGAATGAAGACGCCTCTAGGATTACAGACAGTGATGACGGCTCATGAATTTTTCAGATGGAAGCAAGGACTCCATTAGGAATTAGACTAGAATTCATTTAAAGGACATTCTGATAAAGAACTTGTCTATGCTTTTCCCACATCGGAAAAAATGAAATGAAGCAGAACTAAAAGGTAATAACTAACCAATTCGGAGGAGAAAAATGTAAAAGTGTATGGCCTTCAGGCTGTTGCATGGATATTGCTGGTTGCCTTTTAGCTGGCTTCACTGTCATACTTGTGAACAAAAAGATGTAAAGAGGGGGGAAAAGATATAGTTTGGCCAGCATGGGGTCTTATTTAAAGTTGTAAACAAAGCAGTGGAGAGGCTGACACTAAAGAAAAGTCCGCTGATTCCTACAGGGACAATAGAAAAGGGGCCCTGTAGGACTATTCAAGAATTGGAGACCACCCACTAAAAATTCCCGGATCCTGGATGTTTGTATTTCACCATGATAATAAATATACACACCATTTATACGTACATCACCACCTTTTTATATATTCCATATATATACATCATACACAAGCACACCATCATATATGTAGAAATGGCATGAGGGTAAAAGTGAAACTATTTAGGAGAAGGCAGAAGGTATGAGAAAGAAGGTGGCTCAACTACATTTTATACTTGTGTGAGCCGCACAAGTACCATGTTTTGTGACTACACACCAACACTAAAGAACTGAGTTAAACGAAAAATAAAACCTCCTGTGTCGAACCCCAAAAACTTATTTTAAAGACCTTCCTTAAAAAATAAGTTCTCTGTGAAACAGGGTGAGGGGGACATCTCACAGGGCCCCCCACCCATAGACAAAGAACTCAGGCAACCAAGGAATGCTAAGAGTGGAGGAAATCGTCCCCCATTGTGAGTGAGTCCCATAATTGATTATCCAATACCAAGTGGCCAACCCTAAAATCATGTACATACAATTAACATTAAATGGTTTGGGCAGGTGGTATTTAGATATTTAGGTGTGGGTATGTGTATGTGTGTGTAGCAATAACAAAGAAAAAGGGGCCACAAGTCATGATTTTGAGGGAGGGGTATACACAGGAGGGGTTGGAGGAAAGGGAAGAAGGAAATGATATAATTCTATTTTAATTAAAAATAAATATACAAAGACAATTTATTTTTAAAGATATGGTAATAAGTAACATCACTTTGTAGATACATGGATTCCCTTGTGAATAAATGCAATTAAAATGATGTTGGATGCTAAGGGGAAAATGAATAATAGCCATTAAACTGTGAGAACAATAAAAGTTTTCCTCGGGTGCCTGACTTACACAGAGCTGCATAAGAGTTTTCCCAGGTTCTCCCACCCCAGGAACTCAGAGGCCAGGTGACTTCAACCACAGTGCAAGGGGGGCACAGCTACTGTTCAGGCTGACAGCAGAAATGTTCTGTTGTCCTCATGGTACCAGTTGTGTGGGCATGCAAAATGCTAGAATTATGGAACCATGGCAGCATCCACCAAGATTTTCTAGAAAATCTTGTGAACCACGCAATGTATATAAGTGCCAGATTTGCTGCAGGGAGCCCCTCAGAGGTCTGTATCGGAAGCCATGAAGATGAAAACTAAGCTGCAACTGAGTTCCAGGATGTTGGAGAGAACAAGAACATAGGCTGTCTGCCAAGGAAAGCTTTTGCACAGAATAGAGTCATCCCAGGACAGAGGCTATGTGTGTCACTAATAGCAAGGCACAAATGGGGCTTTCCACTGGAGTGTACATCATGGCAACAGGTGCCTCTCATGCTAGACACAGGGCTACAGGATTTGATGCTTGCCCTGCTGGTTTGGGGCCTTGCTTTGGTTCTGCCCCTTCCATGGCCCACCTGCTATGCCACCACCCTGCCCTTTCTGAATGGGGGTGTTTACTCTGTGCATTGTATATGGGAAGTGTATAATTTCTATATTTTCTAGGAGCTCATAGCTAAAATACTGCTTTGGGTCTCAGCAAAGATTCTGGATATAGACTTTTGGACAGTGATGGGACTGTGAAGGCTGTGGTACTCAAGTTGGACTAAATATATTTTATGTTATGAAATGGTCATTAGCCCAGAGGTAGAATGTTATGGCTTGAATCTGGAATGTTACCCCATAGGCTCATGCTCTGACTTCATGTTCTCTAGCTAATCACTCCATTAAGAGAGGCTATGGAACCTTTAAAAGGTGGGGCCTAGTAGACAGATGTGGGTGATGTGTAGGTGTCTGAAGGTGTATCTGGTCCCTGGTTTCTGGCTGTCTCCCTGCTTCCTGTCTGTGGGAACACAAACAAACTTCTTGGGCCACCATGAATGGAGTGCTCCGCAATGCCTTCCCTGCTGTGATGATGGAAACCTGTTGAAACTGTGAAGCCATAATCTTTCTTCCCTGAAGAAGTCATGTCAGCTGTTGTGGCCACTGTAGTGCAGAAGTAAATAATACATCTTGTCCTTGAGTTACCAAAGCCTCCAAGGAATATTGGCTAACAAAACAAAATAAGGAGTCAACAAGGACAAACAAGAGTAGGTCTGGACCCTGAGGGGCATAGACTTAACAGGTTTGTCTTTGCTAGAAATACATTCTGGGTCTTAAAGAGACCATCATTGTAACTGCACTATCTGGACAAGGCAAACTTTACTTTTGAACAAGAGGTCTTAGCGTGAACACACACATAGAGACAGGAAATGCACTGGGGATGGGGACTGTGTCCTTTCCCCATAGGCGGGAATTGGCCCTCATGGTCTTATTTGATTGGCTACTCTGTTTTAAAGTCATAAAATTCCTGGAATACAGCAGGAGGCCTTTGTGTAAATAAAGGTTTATCAGTTGGGTGGGTGGGTGGGGGTGGGGCTTAATATTTTCCTGAAAGTTTTAAAAAGTCTCATAGTATTTAATAGAAAAGACTTATACTTAACATTTCTTACATCTTAGAGACCAGGTCTACAAAATATCAGCAGGGGAAGCAACCAGCATTTGTCGGGAAAGGGAGTGATGCAGGCTGAACCTGAAACTCT